GGACCTTAGGTCTTGTCGAGTAACACAATCTGTAAAGCCCTTTATGCACACCGGGTCTGACTTTGCTGGTCCGTTTAAGGTCACGCTTACTCGCGGGCGTGGTATATGCTCCACAAAAGCTTACGTTTGCATTTTCGTATGTCTGACTACTCGGGCTGTGCATATAGAACTCGTTGGTGATCTAAGCACAGCGAGCTTCAAGGGTACATTTAAAAGATTTCTTTCCCGCCGTGGCCCTGTAAGTAAATTGTATTCGGATAATGGTACAAACTACGTCGGCGCGAAACGTATTTAATCAGAACAACATGAGCTTTAAACCAGTAAATATTATAATTCGGAGTTCGCTCTGAAGTGTATGAGTAGTCTCTGAACGTCCCGGCCGCGAGCTATTTTGGGGGAAATTGGGAGACTAATATTAAGAGTCTAAAGAGTCATTTATAACGAGTAATAGGGGATCAAATTTTGTCCTTCGAAGAGTTAAGTACTGTGCTCGCTCAAATTGAGTGCGTCATGAATAGTCGCCCCCCTTTGTCGTACGTTTTCAAGTGACTCCTCGGAGCCACTGGCTCTAACTCCAGCATTTTTTGAATTTAACGCCTTTGAAATATCTGCCCGCCATAGACATAGATGAGAACAAACTTAGTATTTCTACACGCCATAAATTATTGGACCGGTTGGTGCAGTCGTTTTGGAAACGATGGAAGATGGAATAAATGCATACGTTGCAGTCTCGGCAAAAATAGAACACAACAACTGAAACTTTAACTGTCGGAACTGTGGTTGTGCTCACCAAGGAGAATACGCCGCCTCTCCATTGGCCATTAGGGATCGTCGAAGAAGTTTTTCCTGGTTCCGATGGGATAACTAGGGTAGCTCGCGTTAGGACCACGACTGTAGTCCGTTTGTGCCCTTTGCCCATTCAATAGTTCGAATTAACTTTCTAGATTAGAAATTGTAGTCGAAAATTAGGTTTAATCTTAGCGTTAGTTATTTTGAAGGGGATCCTTCCAGCCGGGGGGATGGTTACGCGGAAACGATTCGTGTATTTTATTTTGTTCGAGAGTATATTTGCCAAGTGTTTAACCCATCCTTTGATCTAATATCCCTTCCGTACACACTGAAAGGGGAAAGGGGGGAGTCTAGAATGTGGCGCGATTCTTTCGATCAATGAGACACGCGCCCGACCGAGGTGCATTGGTGGGAAAGCCAAGGCAATATAGGCTCGCGTGCTGCCCTCAAGCGGCCTCTGGTCACACGCCGCTAGTCTGAACCGCACCACCTGGGACAGTCGCGTCCAGAAGTAACCGCCTCACGTAGTGTGAGATATCGTCGCGCACCGCTCTCTTCCTTCACACCACTGGCCTGGATAACATCTCTGGGGCGCCCCAGAAGAACCCACCTCACGTAAAATCACCGCAACGGAAGCGTCGTCTGTCGCATCAAAATCGCACCCCAGTAAGTGCTCTTTCGCTGCGGTTCGTTCGCATAGAAGCAGCTCGGTAGTTGTGCTCCCTAAGTAATATTTTGTTTCGAAGGTTTTTAATCACGTTTAAAGTTAGTATGCATAAGATCTCGTAATTATAGTGCGCAAAGGTTGTGTTGTGATATAAAATTCTCAAGAAAACTTAGTCTTAAAGTATATTTAAACAGTAAGAAAAGTTAAATTGGTTGTTTTTGTTTACATTGAGCGGTGGAGGAATAATTGTGAGTGCCGAAGCGCTGAGCTCTCTGATACGCAAACTGCGATCTTACTCGGACTGTAGACTGTTAATAGTCGCATACGCCCGGCTAGCTTGTAATGCATCGCCCAAACGAGTGCTGATAAGGTAATACTGATAGTACAACGATAATTTCATGCAATAATAAAAAATATAATAATAAATAATTTGCATCCACGAGTACAAGATCGTATGGTTTGTCTTTTGATCGTAACCTAATTATACTCGTATTTGAGTGGATTTATGATGTCTAATGCAAATTGGGGCTGTTGCTTTTCCGAAAATGATAACTGTGACGAATTTATTGTTTGAGTTAAATGTGAAAAAAATATCATTATGCATGTATGATAATTGATCGTAAAATTATTACTTCTGATTTACTAGCGACATGGGCATGCCCTGAATGTGTCCACCTACAACCAAAAACGGTAAATAAAGATAATACACCTGTGAGAAATGTCAGTACCGTAAGAGGAAACAAAAGAATAGCCATTGGATCGCCACAGTCTGATCCCGAAAAAGTGAACATTTCTATGGAAGACATCCGTCAAGTGGTAGAAGGTGTGATGGAAGATAAAATGAACGATTTATTTAAAATATTTAATGAAAACTTGGTTGGATTCTTTGCAAAGGAAATTAAAACAATGAGAGACGAATTGTCGAGTATTAAGGAATCTTTAACTTTCATTAATGGTCAGTATGAAGACATAAAGAAAGAAAATGAAGCCTCTAAACTAAAAGTAACAACTTTGGAGAAAGAGAATGCAGAACTGAAAGTAACTGTACATCCATTAGCTCAGGGAGTAAATCAAATCGAACAACACTCCCGTCAATGTAATTTAGAACTCCAGAACGTTCCTGATTCAAGAAATGAAAATCTTAAATCAATGATAATAAAGTTGAGTGAAGTCATTGTTAGCTCTCTGAATGAAAAGGACATTCTAAATTGTACACGCACTGCCAAAATGAATCGCGAATCCAAGCGTCCAAGATCTGTAATAGTGCATCTAGCTTCACCTAGGATTCGCGATGATATGCTGGCGATGGCCTCAAAATACAACAAGGTGAACTCACAAAACAAACTTAATGCTACACATCTTGGATTAATAGGACACACCACTCTTGTTTTTGTAACTGAACATGTATCCCCAGTGAATAAGGCTATTCTTGCGGTAGCTAGACTCAAAGCAAAGGAGAGCGGATATAAATATGTGTGGGTGCGTAATGGCAGAATATTTATGAGGAAGACCGATGAGAGTAAAAAGTTCGGTAAAAAGTTTAGAAACCCTAAAAATACTTATTTAAATAATTCTTTTTGTTCCTTTCTTTCTTATTGTATGTTATATCGTTAAGGTTTTTAATACAATACGATACGCTAAAATTGTACTATCAAAACTGTAGTGGTCTTAAGACCAAAAAACATGGTTTCTATAATCAAATATTATGTAACAACTATGAACTAATAATACTCACTGAGACCTGGCTAAATGATTCTGTTTCGAGTAGTGAACTTTTTTACCCTAGATATGTAGTATATAGGAGAGATAGATCTTCTGCCAGTAGTACTAAGAAAGAGGGAGGGGGGGAAATTGAAATCAAAGCGTTTAAAAGCTTGGAAGTCGGATCTGGAGGATTTATGGGTTTTAGTCGAAGCGCCAGTTTCACACTCAATTTATCAAATTGCTTTCTGTGCCATTTATTTGCCATCTCCTGTAAAAAGTGTAACTTATGATAAATTTTATGACACATGTTTGTACATGTGTACACGTCCTGGAAGAGAAGTGTCTACATTGTATAGTGGGCGATTTTAATCTATTTTCCATAAATTGGAGCTTGTTAGATGAGGATCCTGCGAAATGCGGGCTTTCCACTGTTAGTCAGTCATTTATTGATTTTTTAAACGTCAACGATTTGAAGCAGTACAGTCGTATTAAGAATCAGAGTTTAAATAGAACACTTGATTTGGTTATTGCAAATTTACCAAACTGCAAAGTAGAACAGGCACTTTGCCCCCTCAGTAAAATTGACAGGCACCATCCTCCTCTTGACATAAGTATTAAGCTGTTAAATGAAATTACATTACCTTATAACACTGAAAACGTACAATTAAATTTTTATAGAGCTGACTATGATAGTATTTGTAAAGAATTAGCGAGTTGTGATTGGATCAAGCTACTTGATGGGTTGACAGAATAAGTAAATGATATGCTACAAATTTTCTACCAGAAAATTCGTGATATTATCAAAAAATTTGTCCCCAATAAATCGTCAAAGAACAACAACTACCCGACTTAGTTTGATCGGAATCTAATTAGAACTCTAAAAGAAAGGTATAAAGTTAGGTGTCGTTACAAGAAATATAAAAACCCTAGAGATGAGCTTGAACTGCAATTGCTAAGTAAAAGATGTACGCAAATGGCCACAAATTGCTACAACAAATGTATAAAACTAATAGATTGTGACATAGCAAAAAAACCCAAAACTGTTTTGGTCCATTGTCAAGGCGAAACGTGGTGGTTCAGGTGCCTATCCCCTATCAATGACTGACGGTACGACGCTAACTTCTGATGGAGTGGAAACTTGCGAACTTTTTTCTTCACACTTTTCATCCGTGTACTCTGAAAATACTAAATGTACAGAGCAGGATTATGTTTATGACCATTCAGTCCTTGAAATTAATTGAAATTAATAGCCTTCACCTAGCATAGCTGAAAATTGATCATGATACCCTAAATTAAAAAGCATTAAATGTAATAAAGGAGCAGGTCCTGATGGAATCCCTCCAGTGTTTGTAGTCAGATGTGCTGAACGCCTTGTTAATCCACTATTAATTATATTCAATTTTTCTCTTTGTACTGGGCAGTTTCCTACTCCATGGAAAATAGCTAAAATCGTTCCGGTTCATAAAACGGGCAGTGAGTATTATGTAAGAAATTACAGGTCGATCTATAACCTCTCAACTGCGGATGTCCAAGACTTGGACACGAAAATATCTCCGTTGACTGCGGGCGTCCAAGTGTTAGACATTTTTTTACCCGCTCTTTTAATGAAGAAACAAAGCATTATGCGCTATTTCTAACTCATTCTACCATATGTCAATGTGTACAGCATAAAAACCACACAGCTTACACACTTTAGTAGTATATTTTATTTATACCATTCTTAAATGTCGTCCGTTCCTTGAGTCAGCCATCATTGTGATTGACGCGCGCTAACAACGAAGTTGTTTGTAATTATTTTGTATTAATTTATAATTATTGTGTGGTGAATTGTGTTGAAACAATGCCTGGGTAAGTAACCTTCTTATTTGTAATCTCATTTTGTGTTTTATCTTATTAAGTACGTGTAAAATCGTTTTTTAATATGTATGAAGCAAACTACTATTTTAGAACTAACATGCTGGTTGAGGAAAGTTGACTTGAAATGTACGTAAAATCTTAGTGTTGACGGTCAGTTTTGTGTTAAAATATTGTAATTTATGTTCATTTCTAGGATAAAGGCAATATTTTCAAAATTTTAATGTAAATACGCAATAGGTGCAATAGTGTCCATTTCTGGGACGTCCGTAGTGTGTTGAATTCTAGTTCTCTGTTTTGCGGGTGGCGAAAAAAGGAACTGAAGTTTGCCATGCTGCATCAAGTTCAAATTCGGTTGAATGGTTACAATGGTAAAGAATCTAGCGCCCTCGAGCAGAGAAATGGAGCTTGGTTGACTCCACGATTATTCGAGGATTTATGAAAAATTTAATGTGGCATTTGTATGTCATGTATGTTAACACAGGACTTCGGAATTTTTTAAACAATTTATTAAAACAGAAAATTAGAAAGTATTTACATATGCTTTTTAATATTTTTATTTTAATATTTTTTAAAATTTAATATTTGAAATTTTTATTTTTTTAATTTAATATGATCAAGTTGTGGTTTTTAAGGTCACCTCAGACACATATTTCTTATATTGGTTTTTTAGTGTACATTTTATCCGTATGTACTTTGCAAATTCGTAATTCAAAAATAATTAAAACATTTTTTTTCGTTTATGTGTAAATCTACTTTTTTTAAATACAAAAAACCTGCTTTTTATCTTGTGTTTTGTTTTGCACATGCTTTGGCTTACTTTTTCAAAATTTTTCTGCTTTAGAGGTGTACGTACACGAGGTGGTAGAGTAGGACGCAGGGGGAGAGGAGTTTGCACCCGTGGTGGCACGCAGCAACGGCCGCATGTCTCAGACGAGTAATTTCTTTATTTTTATTATTTTCTTTATTTTTTATTATTTTATTTATTTTTTATTATTTATGTTATTAATAATATTCTCTTTATTTTATGGCAGCGTTATTATTGGCGTGGTTGAAGAGCTGCCAACCGGCAGCCCCCTCGTGGTGCCAGCTGGCACAACACATAGGGGTAGAGGGGTCCGCACCCGTGGTGGCACGCAGCAACGGCCGCAAGTCTCAGACGAGTAATTTCCTTATTTTTATTATTTTATCTATTTTTTTATTATTTATATTTTAATAATATTCTGTTTATTTTATTGCAGCATTCATCTAGGTTTGATTGAGGAGCTGACAGCTGGCAGTCCTCTCGAGATGCCTCTGCACCCGCCTAAGCGGCGAAGATATCTGCCACATACTGCTGGAGCTAGAACCTCAGGGTAAGTAAAACTCTTTTACCTGTTTCGAGTTGGTATTATTCATAAGACCTCAAATGTATTTTATTGTAATAAATAACTTAACTAAAATAATAATTAAAATTATAATATTTACGATTAAAACTAATTATATATACAATATAAAAGAAGAAACTATAATATAGAAAACCTAAAACTAAAAATTTAAATCGTCAAAAAGACCTGCTCCCCGTGGTATAGTGCCAAGAACGCTGGCTGCGTTTCCTCGCTGAATAGCTATACTTAGCCTTTGAGCGAGGAAAGAACCAGCCCTCTTATCACCAGCAGCGACGACCAGTCGTGGATACAGTTCCTTTAGAAACTTCATTGCACGTGGACCCCACGGACCGATAGTCTCTACAGCAAATGGCACAAATATGTAGTCATTTCTCAAAGACTCATATTTGCACCATTTACTAAATTCGGCTGCCTCTGATGCCGCCCCGGCTCTACAACAGGTACCCTTGAGATGAGAGGCCGCCAAAGTGTCAACGCAAGTAGCATCCCACACTAGGGCTTTACCTCTCTCCCAAGGGACCAAAGTCATACCGTCGGGTCTCTTGCCATCGTCTCTAAATATCCCGCAAGGCTCTAAAACCGAGGGGATATTTATAGAGACAAGAGCCCTTCGGATGATTTCGTTCAAAGAACCGTGACGGGAAAACCTACCTGCACTTTTTTGGCATGAAAGTCCGTGGAGCCCAAACTCATCGACGCTGCTACCACAGGGGCACTGGTGAGGTTGACAAATAGCCACTCCTAGCCGGATTCCTACGGCGATGCGCAAGCTTTCCCCATCAAGCAATGTGCCGAGATTACTTGATGGTAGAGCATGTAACCAGTGGCTAGATTCCTTAGTCGAAACAGCTAGAAGGCGAGCCTGATCTTGTTGAATATGGAAATTTTGAAATAAATTTTTGTGGACACTCCGTACCAACGGAATATCCCACTGTTTTTATTGGTTAACTTCCAGTGGGACATTTTCGCCGGGACAGAGCGTTAGCCATATTTGCTTTGCCTCCGCAGCAAAGCATAGGTCTACTTTATTATTTAAAATTGTGTTACATAGGTCATTGACACTATGCACGGAAGCAAGGAAAGCAGGCAATGCGACGCTAGAAATATTTCTTATACCAATTCCACCAAATTTGATAGGTAAAGTGGCTTGATTCCAGGCTATTGTATTTAATCTCAAATTTAGAATGTTTTCTAAAGCAATTTTAAGACTATTATCAATATCTTTTAAAATATCCGAACATTTCCAGACTGGACTTGAGCGTAACAAGTATGTAAATTTAGGTACAAGGACACAATATTTTAAAATAGTAAGGGCAATATGGGGGTTTAAAATATATAATTTATCAACGTGATATCGAGAGAAATTGATCAAATTTTGTTTTTAAAACAGGTTTAATACTATCGAAAAACAACGGACCACCAAGCAGGTAAAGCGATTCCGAATTGACAGTTTTTATGCCTGGAGAAATCTGATTGAAATTTTGAATTAAGGTATCTCTTTTAGAATTAGATAAATTATTAGAAATAAATATTTCACATTTATTTGTATTTGGTTCAAGATCAATATTTTTAAAATTTTGAAAAATATGAGTAAGATCATTGAGGACGTCATCTGCTTTACCTCCCAGTGTACCGTCGTCCAGATACCAGACATTCAGCTTGGATTTTAAATTTGAAATAATAGGTTGAATTCCCAAACTGAAAAGAGCTGGACCTAATGGATCACCCTGTTGAACACCGACAGCAGACTCAATAATATGGTTTTGATAAAACAAGTTTGAATTTTGACTGTAACATTGCCAAACGTAATAATATATTTCGGGGGTATTGTTACCCACTTCTTTCAGCAGGGTTATCCTATCAATAGAGTTGAAAGCATTTCTAAGATCAACCTTCAGAAGAACATCTGCATCGGAATTAGTTAAGACAGTACGCACCGAATGTACCGCCGCCTCACAGCCACCTTTGGTGCCAAAGCCTAGTTGAGTAGGTTGAAATTTTGTCTTAAGGTTTGAGATTATGTGCCTGCAAGCTAATTTTGAAGTTAACCGTCGAAATGTAGAACCAACAGCAATAGGACGGATACCGTTATCCTTTTTTTTGAAGGCACACAATCTTGCCCCATATAAGTAGGGAATGAAATTGGGATTGACATTACCAGAAAGCATAAAATTACATAATTTTGTTATGTCATTAAGAAGTACCCTACCGGCATCACCGGCAGATACGCTTACAAGGTCTTTGAGAGACTGAGGCGTAATCCCGTCAATGCCGCCTGCAGAGCCATTCGAAAATGACAATATTGCGTCTAAAGTGTCTTTTTCGGAAACTTGTAATGGTTGAAAGAAAGAAAGAAAGAAAAGCAAGGTTTATTCTCCAAAATGACGCCATCACAGATAACATAAAAGAAAACACATAATTTACAAATAATATTGGCTATACAATACAAATTACAATATACTACATATTACAAACTATACAATACCTATACTAGTATGTGTCAAGGCGTCATCTGGGAACAGGAGCACACTCAGCATAATGCCATGAATTTTTTTTCCATGGCGCTGATTTTCAGTGTGTCCAACCAGTGACTTACCGAAATCAGTGCTATATGTATACTTATTTTATTATGCTTTAACAGAATTATGATGACAGAATTATGCACAACAAGGGGGAAAGAGACAGTAACTATTTTAAGTGAGAGGGAGAGAGTAGCGTTCGAGGTCGAATGCCACTTCGACGCAGCACGTCCCGTTTATGTTGCTTTCAGATGCTCTTAGAAGGTCTATACGAACACTACAAAAGGGGAGATTATTAAAATACTATAAAGGGCTATATACTACACTATGTAATTATTGAAGAATATAAAAGTAATGTACCTACATAAGAAGACAAAAGCCGCATTTAAGAGGACGATTTTAATGCTCAGTTGTTAATAATCTACGACGATGAGGTACGTAATCGTGCAAAGCGTTATAAACTTTGATCAAAGTCAATCTAACTTTGCAGTAATTGTGTTCTATATTTATTTTTAAATGTTTGTACTGCTTTCAGATTTCGCAAAGGAGGCGGTATATCGTTCCAGCACTTGGAGGCGGCGTATTTGAAACTTCCTCGGAAAGCGTGAGTGCGGTGACGAGGCACGACGAGAGTATTCCCTCTGATGCGCGTATTATAAGTTTTTACATCACGTGACCATATGAGTTTGTCAGCAAGATAAGGAGGTGTTTTATTTTTTAATACCCCGAATAGGAGAGTTGCCATGTGCAGTTTTCGGCGATATTCCATTTTTAACATTTTGGCATTGTTAATGTAAGGGGTGACGTGCGTGCGGGGCGGTATTGTAAAACTAAATCTTGCACATGCATTTTGAACACGTTGCACTAGACGGCGCGACCGCGCTAAAAGTTTCGAGCCACATACAATGTCCATATAATTAAATTTCGAAAGGACAAGTGTGTCACACAATTTTACCCGAATATCCGAATTTAAAAACTCCCTTATTTGATAAAGAACTTTAAGTCTATAAAAGCAGTTTCTGCTAATACTTAGTATGTGGTTCTCAAACCGTAGTTTGTCATCCATTAGTAAGCCCAGATTGCGAATCTCATTTACACGTTCTACGATTTCCCCTCGAATTTTGGATGCATGCCCCTCTTTCTGATATATTTTTTATTTGATTTTTAGAACCCATAATTAGTAGTTTAGATTTATTTCCGTTTAGTACAAGGCAGTTTGAGTCTTGCAGGTTGCATAGAAGTATTAGGAGGCAGCGGTAAATTCTGGGAAGGATTGACCGAAGGATGTTTCTGACGAAGGCCTTCAAGAGTTTCGACATTACGAGGAGCGAGTATGTCATCTGAGAATAAAATACGGGATGCATTTTTTAAGTCGCCGTCCATTACTTTTAATTCAACTACTTTTTTTTAAATCAAATTTAGGATTAGGTAGAGGGAAATGAGTATTAATCGGGTAATTCAAATTTTGAAAAGAATTTTCTTTTAGTTGAGACGTAATTGATTTATTTATTGTTTTACTAAAATGAAAGTGGGAATACGCGAATGTAAATAATTTTTGCCAACTTTTTTCACAATTCGTTAGACAATTTTGAATAGTTCGCCTTATTCTTTTAACCACTGGTACGTTACTATACAAATTGTATAAATGTTTCGAAAAAAAGTGAAGAATTTGTGTCATTAGGTATATTATCAGAAGAGTCATGAATTTCTACGGTAGGCTGTGAAGCCGAAATATTTTTACTATGGCATCGTTTAATGTGTATATTTAATCCCTTTTTACCTTTAAACAGCCTACCGTCGGTACAATTTTGACATCGTAGGAAATCCGTCTGTGAATGTATTGGAGCGATAATATTCATAGAAAATGTAAAAAAAATAAAAATGTAAAAATATATCTACAGCACTCAAAAGTTTATAATTTAGTAAAAATCAAAAGCTTGAAAATTAAAAGAAAAACCTAGTTCTCGAGCTTTGTTTATCGCCTTAAAGCAATCTAATATTAATATTGTGTACGATGAATCACCAGGCGTTGCATCTTGAAGTGACCTACAACTATAACCGCTTACAGTTGATGGTTTCAAAGCTTCTTTTGGTGACAATCTCAATAAAACGCTCAAACATCTCAATAAAAACGCGGCATTCGTGGTTTTCTTGGGATCAGTAGAAGTGTAGTGAGCATTGATTTTGTTATTTTGACGTTGTTCTATTTTCTCTTTTAATATTTCTTTAAAGGTCTCCCTGGCATTAATGTTGCAAAATAAAATATATTCTTGGTGTATTCGGCCATCGTCATTTCATGTCATCACTTCAGGCAAACGAACTTGTAAATATATTATCACATATTCATTAATATTGAAATATATTATTTACAAAAACGTTATTTTTAGGAATTTCAGGAATAAAATATAAATATATTCTAATTAAAATATTTGGTTAAAATATACGATTGTTGTCACCTGTCACTTTTTCTTTTTTATTATAATTGTTATAACAGTATATGGCAACCAACTGCTACAGACATGGGAGGTGACGACGCGAGAGGAGACGTCGCGGGAGGCAATGACACGGGAGGCGATGACGCTGATATTCAGGGGGGATTTCAGTAAGTAGCTACTTGTGATAGGTACAGTGTATTAAGTGAGTGCTCGTATTATATTATGCTCAATTGTATATCTTTGTTATAGCAGAAGCACTTCTCTGGGCGTAGATAATCTACCATCATCGAGCGTGTAAGTAAAATAAAAAAGATTAATTCAAGTAATTATTTCTATTATTTCAGGTATGTTGAGTGTTCGTCACCGTTTACGCCACATGCGCGGGTGTTGCATGGTCACCATCGTCGGCTTCTCGATAGTGAAATCGGTGACATCCTCAATTACGGTTGGTAATTTTTATCACATACCAGGTATTCATATTTTTAATGTATAGTTTAGTAGCTGACAATTGTTTCTTTCTCCGTAGGGAGCGAAGACGAAGAAGATTCAGAGGAGCGCGAAGGTGACGACAACAGTGAGCTTACGCTTCCCCGCTCATTGCGGATGTTCTTTGAGCCGGAAGATGACACGCTCGAGGAAGCAAAAGCGGCTGGGCACATTGATGTGCTTCAGTTTCATCCCACCCCTGAACCCTCACAGGTGGACCCTGGTGAACCTCATGGCCCCTCTAGCTTATTTGATTTTAGCTGGAGGAGTTACCCCAGAGATCCACTTTCACCAGCCGAGCGTCGGGAACTATTTGTGGGTCACAGTGGCCCCACGATTGAACGTACAACAAATCCTTATGATATATTCACAAAGATTTGGGATAGATCAATCATGGGGCACATTGTTACCCAAACCAATTTGTACGCCCAGGAGCACGCGGCCAATTTATTAAATTTAGGGCTAATGGGACCGCGCAGCCGTATCTCTGAATGGTTTGAGACAAACATAGATGAGATGTATATCTATTTTGCAATAATATTAGCAATGGGGGTTCTTTTTAAATCCAAAATGGAGGAATATTGGTGTAAGGAGGGCAATATTTTCACAACAGCATATTTCTCGTCCTATATGTCACTTAATAGATTTCAACTACTAAATAGGTGTATTCATTTCAACGATAATACACTTTTAACGCCGGATCTATCGCCAAAAGAGGCAAAATTATTCAAAATAGCACCACTTGTAGCTCACTTGAATTTCAAATTTTCAACTTTATTTAATCTCCACCAAAACGTCGCGCTAGATGAGTCACTTACTCAATGGAAGGGGTGGCTTAATATTAAACAATATATTCCAAACAAAAAGTCGGCGGTAGGGATTAAGACCTACGAGGTGTGTGACTCCCGCACTGGCTATTTGTGGAGGTTTGAAGTACATACGGGTGCTGAGGTTCTATCTTCGGATAATGAAGGGATAATTGTAGGGGGTATCCCAAATTTAGTATTACGATTGTTGGGCGGCCTTGAACACAGTGGTCGTACCATATGGATGTACAACTATTATAACTCCCCTTCTTTAGCCCGCGTCTTAAAAACGCTTGGTCTCGACTGCGTCGGGACTTTGCGGACCAACCGGCAATTTGTACCTAATGAAATTGTCGCTTTAAAGAAGGGGAACATGAGAATTGGACAGGTGTGTGGCTGTACATCTGGAGACGTCGACTTGATGGTGTGGCGAGATCAGAACCGGGTGGCAATGATTTCGACATACCATGGGGTCGCTGTCGCCGATGGTAAGCCCACGGTAGTCAAAGATTATAACGTTTGCATGGGTGGCGTGGATCGCAAAGATCAAATGTTATCTACGTACCCCATAGAAAGAAAACGGACACAAGTATGGTACAAAAAATTCTTTAAAAGGCTTTTGAATGTAAGTGTTTTAAATGCTTACATAATCTGTAAGTCCTTTGATGAAAAGGTCGACCATAGGGGTTTTAGGACGGAACTAATTCTCAATATCTTACAAAAACATAGTCCACCTCACCAAAGCGCCGCTGAACTTAGACTTTCGCAGCAATCTCTCGCTGGGCCAAAACTAACACCTGATGTATTAGCTCACTTCCCGTCAGTGCTCCCAACTCTACCTGGCGGAGTGGGCAGACAAAAACGCAACTGCGCTTTTTGCAAAAAGCGTACGTATCAGTTTTGCAAATCGTGTAACGTTGCGTTATGTTTCGACCTAGAGCAAGATTGCTGCTACCTACAGTACCATTCGTAAATGAATAGTACTGTAGATACAGTAAATCCAACAAGTACCAGGAGCCTTTTAAAGAAATGAGTACCCATGTTATATATTTATTCAATTTTATACTTATTTCCATCCATCCATTTAGTTTTTATTGTTGCCTAGCTATAATTTGTTCAGCTAATTATTTCAGACTATCATCGTCGAAATTGTTAAGTTAGTTAAGTTACACATCCTATTTCCGTCCCACTGCTGGGCCTTCCCTCACTTCTGAAGGGGTTTTAGGGCAAAGAAGTGTCCGCCGCGCTGCCCATATGCGTGTTGGCGAACTGCATATGCCTTGGAAATATTTTTTTTTATTTCTCAGACAGTCAGACTTCCTCATGATGTTTTTCTTCACCGCCGAGCAAGAGGTAAATCAGCACTTAAAATTGCAATTAACAATTTCATTGATGCCAGCGGGGATCGAACCCGGTGTGCTAGAGTACTGTGAAATTTAACGCGAGAGCTAACCATCTGAGCTACCAGGGCTCTCTCATCGTCGAAATGAATACTTAAGTTAGTTAAGTTACAGCCTTTTTACGTCCCACAGCTGGGCAAAGGCCTCTCCTTATTTCTTAGAGGGTTTTAGGGCAAAGAAGTTTCCGTCGCGCTGCCCCAATGCGTGTTGGCGAACTTCAGATATCTTCGAAATATTTTTTTCTTGTTTCACAGACATGCAGGTTTCCTCACAATGTCTTTCTTCACCGCCGAGCACGTGGTAGATCAGCCTTTAAAATTGCAATTAACAATTTCATTATTGCTAGCGGGGATGGAACCCGGCTTGCTAGCGTACTGTGAAATTTACAGCGAGAGCTAACCATCTGAGCTACTACGGCTCTTCTGAGCTACCACGGCTCTCATCGTTGAAATGAATACACCTCTTTATTTTGTGTTCTTTTTTCTATAGGATAGTGTGATAAACGAGCACGCAGTCCACCTGTGGTGGTTGCTGCGGCCCATAGACATCTACATCTATCCTCGATTACGAATGAAAATGCAGATGCGTGTCACCCGTGAGGACAAAGATGGAATGCCTCGTTTCCAGTAAAAAGCTCTCCGGTTCTCTACACTCACCATACGAAATACAGAAGCATTAAGCTATTATTTCACGCTGGTATTCTGTGAGAGCGTGGTCCTTCCCCGGTCGAGCCGGCCTATTCGTGCTACAACTGTACTACTAAATAAGAAGTGGGTTCTTTAAAAATATATATAAATAATATTTTTTTATTTCAGGAAGAGATATATTTATTTTAAATTTTATTATTTCGTAGCTATTATTTGTGTTTAAGGAAATATGTTAACTTTTGGAGAAATAACGTTGTTGGTTATTGTAAATGTAACATAATCGCTGCGCACCTCGCGGCGCCTCAGAACGCCTTTGTCAGTCGACACCTATTATACTCCCTCCTTGTCCTAGACATTCTTAACAATTGTAGTACGCCGCATTCCATGCCAGCATCACAATTTATCCAAGCTCACTAAAAAAAAATTTAAAGCAGTATATCTGGCAACACTGTATCCACCCGTCCGTCAATGCAACCTCATTGCGTTTTTTTGTGCCAGCTGTCACAGTGTGTTTTATAATTTTTGTTGTAAAAATTAAATATGTTTAGTGTAAAATCAAATATTTTGTATCCAAAACCTACTACAAATAAATTTATTACGTATCTGCGTGGTAATAATTTGATTATGTACTTGGGAAAATGGGAAAGGAAGATATTCAAAATGGAGCTAACCGATCAAAGGTAAACAAAAATCCTATTGTTCGAGGTAGGTGCACGTGTATATAAAATAAATAAAGTTAAAACATTTATTACCTAAATAATAAAATCAGATTCACTGTGCCCATTTATTAACAAGTATTATCGAACAATTTCACTATTAAGGGTTAATAACATAACCTCGTCACTCATATATTGTGAAATAGTAAATAGGTATTTTAACCTATAATTGTGGGTTGAGATACATTGTACAGGGATACGTTGAGAAATTTTAAGTGATATATATTAATGTTTTTATTACTTTCATTTACTTACGTTGGACAGTCGCCATTATCAGTCAGAAAATTGGGGCAGCAGACCCGGAAATTATAAACCCTGAGATTAGTTGTATACCCTGAGATTATAACTAAACTTTCTTTAGTATCAGAAAATCCTGATTATGAAAAGAAATAAGTGCTATAAATAAACTTAACTCATAAGTTTATTAAGGTTATGTAAACCCTTAACATCCACAAAAAATTGGCAGAACAAGTTAGAAATAATTACTGAATTCTGGGACAAAATTATCCGGTGTGTAAGGGAGAGTCAGTTTACTAGTCCTTAAAATTGTTAATTCCCAAATAAATGGGATTTAATAGATGCATTTTTAAATATAAAGACAGTTTATTATTACATATTATTTTGTAGACACATAAAATAAAAAATAAAAAGCTACATAATATGACACCCCTCTATCAGGCATTGAGTGTGGTAGGTAGCTGTGGACTTATATAGACTGTAATGGATGGATGGATAATATGACAAGAAAATAAGAAAAAATGTGATATGAGAACTGTTTTACCTTGATATGAAATATCTAAAGGTTACAAGTTAAATACACATAAAATATAAGTAAGCAAAAAGTGAGTAAAAAATAAGCATTTATAGGCTGTTTAGAAAAATCTGAAAGATTGAACCAAACCTATTATTTAAATTATATCCCTTGTGATATATTTGGCTTCACATGTTGCGAATGAAACCAGATTTGACAGATATGCAAAACAAAAATAGTATTGTAAGCATCAGATTGAATTACAATATATTGTTAAATTATTAAAAGAATAATAAAAAGACAACAGATAGCCTGTAAAATGTTTCATGACTTAGATTATTGTCAATTTTAAAAAATTAACAAAATATAATTAAAAAACTTGGTATAGAAGGTAAACAATAAATTATTATTATTGAGATAGTAAAACGAATATAATATAATAATTATTATATAACAATTAATATAACAAGACGATAAAATAATATGGAGAAATTTCGGCTGATAGGCAATTAAATTAAAATCGAGACCATGATTAAATAATTCAAATTAAACATAGGCACATTATTGCATTCGAGCTGTTTTATGTAATTTAATATAACCTAAGTAACAAGAAAGAAAGAATTTTTAGCATCATTAGGTTTTAAATAGAATGATGAGTTGCAAATGCATTAATGGCCTGCAGCGGTACATAAAATATCAATCTGGGAAAATATAAAACTTACATACTTCACTTATTAAAACAGTGGTAAATTAAACAATTAAAAAGAAATTTAAAAATAATTATAGGAAATAATTTTCTATTGTAAGATATTAAAAAGTTATGACAAGTTAAAAATAAGTAATATGTGAAGTAATAATTAAAAAATAAAATAAAAATGGATTTATTCAGTAAAATTAATTATG